GTAATAGGCTGTATTGGAGCTTCAACTGGCATAGAACTTTTATCCGCTAGAAGGCAAGCGTTACGGTTCATCACAAATGTCTCGATGCTGGATGCCATTCATGACCACCAAAAGTAGTGTTTCGCTCGGCTTTTGGTCCGATCGATTCCAACGTGACCCTCATGTGCACAAGCGGTTATTTTGTATACCAACTAATGTGGAGCTATAAACACCGAACCACGCATAAGACAACCATCTACCGTTGACAGTTCATCTCGAATTACGTAGTATGGAGTGGACTCACCGGGGACGTCCTTGTTCTTAGGCCATCCATTTTGCACATACCGCTGAGTTGATGTAGTAACGGGTTGTTGGCATTTTCCGTTCGTAATTCATCGGTAGTCAACGCTGTTAGGTCGGAACCAAGACTGGAAACTAATACTGCCACTTTGAGTCTCACTTTGTCATCATCCAGCTCCGCGGGTAAGCGAGGTAATCCATCAGCAACTTGGTTTTGTAAATCCTGGCGGTACGCAATTTAAATAACGTAGTTTAGGAGTCTAGTATACCAACGATCGATCCGCATTGGACGTGATCCTTTAGATCCACTGCTGAGGAGGACTGTAAGGGCGGAGTGATCAGTTCGTAGAGTGAAACGACGACCGAATAAGAAAAGGTGCCCCTTTTCACAAGTCCAAAAACAAGCAAGAGCTTCTTTCTCCCCAACTGAATAATGGCGCTCAGAATCTGATAGTTTCCGGGGTGCGTAAGCATTAACTTTTTTTCTCTTCGTTTTGTAGCTGTGCCAGAACAGCACCGAGACCAATATCAACGCATCAGTCGACACCAAAGTGCGGCATGTTCATCAAAAATAACAACTAAGGGAGCAGATGCAACTCTGCTTTTCAGTTCATCGAAGGCCTTTTGCTGGTCACTTCTTCAAGTGAACGACGTTCTTTTCTTTGTTAGTTGTCCTAATGGATCTGCTAGGGTCACAAAATTTTGCAAATAGCGCAGATTGTAGGAACACACTTCCAAAAAACTTCAGTCCTGTCGTTTTTGGATCTTGGCGCTTCGGTGATAGCCTGGGTATTTCCGTTGCTTGGGCGAATACCGCCGCGCGATATGATGCGTCCCAGAAATTGAATCTCGGGGGCATTGAATTGACTTTTTTGCGTGCAAAGTAAATCAAGACCACTGAGACACCGAAGGACTTTATGTAATCTTTCATCATGCGCGACTGAAAATACAGATATCATCAATTTATGCACCCTTCCCCACAATACCTGCCAAGGCGTGAGTCATGAACTTTTGCCAGGCAGCGGGCGTGGAACTGAAATAAGCCATCGGGAGCAAGGAAGGCAGTGAGATGCTTCGAGTCATTGGTCAATGGCATATGGAAGAACGCACTTTTCGAATCTAGCCTGGAAAATACGGTTGCACCAGCTAAACGTACAGTGGCATCACGAATTGCTCTACGACGATCTGTTTATTTAGCCCCTGCAAATCGTTGCATATCCTGACAGTGCCACCCACTCAGAGCAGTCGAAGGGTTCGATCAAGTCATTTACTAGCATCTCTCGCAGGGCTGCTGATACAGCTTGATGTTTTGCTAGCAGAACAGGCGAACGTTGACCATTAACAATGGGTTTCGCATCCTGCTTCAGCTGAATGCGATGCACGCCACATGGAATACGTCCGATGAATTGCTGAAAAAGTTTAGGATAACATTCCTGCCAGTATATCACGTTGACCGAAGAGACTGGTATGCGGTCGAAAGATGGTACCACTTGCAAAGCCACCATAGCGTTTCTTCCAAATAAGGGTCGTCTATGTTCTGGAGAAATGTAAACTACAATATCCGCAGCCACCGAATGCAACTGTAAAGCCACGATAATGAATCCCAATATGGTTACGATGTTTCCACTCTAAAATAAATGCGAAGTAGGCCATAAAGTATGCATGGATAAGTAGCGTTCGTAACATCGGAAAGGTATAGTGATAACTGGAGAAGCAGAATCTAGTCCTATTTCAAGTGGAACAATGCCTTTGATGGTAAGGAATGACGCAGTACGACTATCAGCGGAGGGAAACTTTGATTCAATAACATATATTTTTAGACTTTTTGAAGTGTTAGCATTAGCGGTGATGGAATAAATGTTTACCTGAGATGGATCAGCAATATAGTCTTTAAGTGTAACATCGTTGTTGATAAGTGTGATGGCTTGCGACCGACAACCTCTGGCATAGTGCCCAATTTTGCCACAGTTTTTGCACATAAGACTGCGTTCAGGACAATTTGAAAGTTAGCTTTATGAGAAGCACCTCCACAGCGATAGCAAGTTAGCTTGTCCGTTGGCAATTGTCGGGTAGATTGCACCTTTGCCACCTCAGTTGAGTTGATCGAACAGAGCTGTTTCGATTGTGGTGAAACCAGTTTTCATTCTGGTTAACTCGCAAGCTGGATCCCACGTTAATCTGCACGCCCTTTCCTGAAACAACGCCTCACGTATACTGTTGTCTTGGGAAATGGACAAATACTCACGAGGTCGTACAGCGTGACTTAATTAGGCAATGAAATCGTTCACGGGTTCGCCTGTTTCCTGATGCATGAGGGATAAAACGTATCTTGCAGTAAACGCATTCATTTGGTAACGATGGAGAGTGCTGAAAGCTTCTTTAACGGATTTACATCCTTGAAGGCCTGAATCGTCAAACTGTCGCTGCCTCTCATCTCCGAGTAAATGCCGAAGCAGCTTTAATCTGTTTTTCTCACTAAAAGCAAAATGGAAATCGCTGATTAAATCCAGGTATTTTTGGAATGGCGTTTTCCAACGGAACCAGGCATCTGAGGTTAGTCTGCTACCGCAATCAGTCCAAACTGGAGGTGGGGGGCGAATGGAAAGGTTCATCTTTGCGCTCGCGACGCAAAAATGTTGTATCAAGAGATAACAGAAAAGCAGGACGTTTATCGGTACGCAGTTCAGAGGTACACAAAGAGAACACACAGTACATCTATTTTAAGCGTCTATTTTCACACAACTAATGAGGAGTTGCTCTATTCCAACTAGCCAATGAAACATGAGTTGCGAGGGACATGTGATGAGTCAAGCACAACAATGGGCACGATGATCGATTCTCCCCAACAGGATGGAACCTTTTCTTCTCATCAGATCTTTGAAAACATAGCTGTTAATTGGTTGCTAACCGCCTCACTACCATACTTGTACAGCTCCGGAGGAAGCCCGTCTGAGTCAGCAGTTTTGAATCGCTACGGTTGACAACGCTCTAAACAGGCCTCCACTTCGATGAATAGTCCCATTGAAATATTCCAATACACAGGGTGGCCTTCTTGTTTGACAAGAGGATGTAGGAGATCAACTGAATTGAGAGTGGAAATGCTCAGCCCAGGGGCCATGTGCCTACGCAGCTTAGGGATTGGTTGTCCATCAACCTCGCAAATAGCTTCACTGACGCCAAGTTTTCTGTAGCCAGTGGTCCAAATGATTTGGAAATTCATGCGAAAATTTGCAGAGTTGCTGTCTCCATCTTCGAAGCGCGCTGAGACCACTAAGTTTCGCGATCGTTACGCAGGCTTTGCTTGAGTTGTTGGCTGAGATTGCAGCGGACTTCCTCGCAGTTCGAATCAGCTAGAATAGCTTGGCGATAGTCAAAAAATTCCAAAAAGTGAGCAGAGATCCAGCCTCTCATTGGACCCCCAGCGATTCCAATATGATGGACAAAAAGAAAGCAACGCACTCTGCAAGAAATTCCAGCGATGTTAGGCATCTGTAGGTGGGGCATGAGCGGGCGCATCTGATAAGGAGGATTGTTAAGTCATTTGAATGGAGGAGTCAGCTAGAATGTTGGTATCTAGCGTACGGTGCTTTGGTTTCGAGAAATCACCAAAGCGCATGCAAATGTCCGCACAGATCGCAGCATGATCTGAGTCCAGGTAGATTGACCAAATTAATCTACAATCTTGGACACTGCCCCACCATCTAAAGCTGATTGCATTGTGACCAATATGTGACCGCGGTTGTGTTGTTGAAGGGGGACAGCAGGTGGTGGCTGGTCTCATCGTATGCATGAAGTTCGGGCTGGCGAGAAGCAGTCGGCTGTCGTCACATAAAGTGAGAATCCTTTACGTTATCAGAGCGGCTCACAGTAAGAGCATGGCGGCGTCCAAGGTGATGTTGGCATGGTAGCAGGCACCGATCTTTTCACTGAAATCTCCGGCAAGCACGACGACATCGGATTTTTCGGCTTTGCTCAAAAGCTGGTGAAGTCCGCGATAAAAGTCATCCTTAACTGATGCACAACTGCAGTCGATTGGAGCGTAGGCTGAGACCACAAACAAATTGCATCTCTCTGTACGATGCTTATTGATTTCGCACCAGCCTTGAAGTCGAACCGCACACCAACGGCTGTTAATCGGGAACCAACCGAGCGGCGAGAACTCCGCTTTGTCACTCAAGGCGATGCCAGCACCAGCCAGACTAGCTGCAGCAGCCTCTATGTCACCAGACAAATGCTTGGAATATTTTGTCCAGAGATCAGCGGGGGACCACAAGTTAACATCGGTGCTGGAGCCCTGTAATCGAGTCTCAGAAAGGCGACAGACATCAATAGCGAGGGATTCTAATGTACGCGCTAAGCCGGCTTGTTGTCTGACCTGCATAAGAGTTCTAACATTGAAGACCGCTCGCGGAAATGAGATCGAGGACGATGGAGGACCACTGGTCGGACTGTTTGGACATGGGCGAGGCTGTCATCAGAAGTAGATTCAACGGACTTATTGGTGAAGATAGGATTAGCGTGTAATGACTTGCGTCAGTAATTTAATTTTACTTCAATCTTTGTGCGTGTTTTATTCCGACCACTTTGTAATTCACTGCAAAAACGATTCGGTGCGTGTATGCACTACGTTCATAGATGAAAAACGAGTTATATTTGTTGACAATGCAGTCCTCTACGGACCATGAGGGCTTAACCGTTTTTCGTCTTTTCATTTTCCGCAGGTTTTCGAGCTCTTTCCATGAATGAACCATCTTCCAAAGCTTTATTGGGGAATTTCCAGCCCGAGATTTACGGATTAAGCAAAGATTTTCGATTGACACGGTTTACTGTACTGAAGGGATGAGGTTGCAAGGTTCCTCAAGCAGAATTGAAAAAGCTGCTTGAGGGACTGGATTGCCCTCGCTCCATCGCCGGATTCGGCGACACCCCCTTGATGTGTAAGGCTACTTTCTCTGTTCCACTTTTTCCTATTCTAGCTGTAGAATTAGATTGTTGTGTTCTTCCTTTGCGTAATAATTTCAAGTTAATACAAACAACTGACTTTTTCTATCCTCTAATTGATGATCCTTACACCATGGTGAGTTTGTTTACAAAGTTGTTGATCAAATGCAACCCTTTCCAGGGTTGGATAACATGTTGCAATGTGCTCAGTGATCTGTACGCAATGGGTGTCGTGCATTGCGACAACATGCTCCTTTTGTTGGGTGTTGCTCAGGAGATGACTTCACAGGAGAGAAACGTAGTCATCCCTATTCTTATGCAAGGATTTCGAGTAACTGTTTTACTGACAAAATAAACACGTTGTCCTTTAGGACTGCGCGCTTGAGGCCGGGACTTATATCCGTGGTGGTCAAACTGTTCATAGTCCGTGGTTGATGATGGGTGGCGTGGCCACCTCAGTGTGCATGGATTCGGAATACATCATGTAAGTGTGTTTTGTCCTTTTTACCCATTCGCTTTGACCCCCGTCCGTTCACGTTGTGATGTCTTTCTGCTTCTCAGAATGAACGGCTGGAGGCATCTTTTCTCTACCATACTCCCGTTGTGCTCTCTTCTCTTTATTACGTCTCCCACTCGATTCTCTCCCCCGGGTCGATGCGCAAAAGATGACTATTGAACCGGCAACGTGCTTAAGTTTTTCTCCAGACCATTAGTTTTGTTTCACGCTGTCTTTTTAACGTTCTCGTTTCCCTCATATCAGTCAAAAGGTGGCTCTGGCTCCTACCACTTCTTCTTGGACCGATATGTCCTGTGTACCAGATAGTCCTGGTATAATTAACCTATGATTGCCTGCACTCTAATTCCATTATCGATCGCTACATTCTTTTTGTTTTTGGTGATAAGGAGTCGATAGATACAGACAATTTCATTCCATCTATATCTACCCAACGAAAGCATTCTACTCTCGTGGATTCTAGTGAATGACTGCAATTTTGCTGTTCAAACCTTTTTGAAGACGATATGCCTTTTATGGTTTGTTCTCTGCAACTGACCATTGGTCTGCGATAATTTGGGGCAAATTCCGTGAATAATGCCACCCGTCCCTATACTCAGTCATCCGCTTATAGTGATTATTGTTAGTTACGCTATTGCTCCGGTCGGTTTCTTATCACAGATTAGATATCCGTTAGAGGCGGTTTTGGACTCGATGCTCATCTTACTAGTGATTAGAATCAATCTTAATTGTGTGGCGATCACAATATAAGTAGTTCTGCTTTCCAACACAGACGTCTACATCACCCAGCTGGCGTTCACCGAACGAAACTATTCCGAACCTAAATTGACCACATTGTCACCAGTTACAGCTGACTACGATCAGATGTCAGAACAAGAGTCAGCGAATAAGCTCATTTTCGGTGGATCTCGTCAGGCTGGTACACCGCAACTAATACGAATAAAATGAGTTAAAACATCAGACGGGAGTAAAGTTCAAAGCGTAAAAGTAAAAGGTTTAGGTCATCTAAATGACAAGGTCACAAACGGTCAGTGATATGTCAGTTGCATGTTGCTCAGCAGGGGTTACTGTAATAAGTGGCCCAGGGAAGAGAGAGAATCTGAACGAATTGTTTTTGTGCACATAGGTCTGGGTTCTGGAGACGGATAGCGATCGCTGCGGCTGTTGCTAATAGGCGACATCTTACCGCTCGTGTGTAGCATCCAGATACGCGGTAAATTGGCTGAAAACTACGATCAGATGCTCCAAGTGCTAGTGTGTTGGCTGTCTCGCCGTTGTCAGTGTTTTCCAGCACAACGTTTAGTTGGATGTTGGGCCAAGGACATGGCAAAATGCATGTAGAAACACCCTGAAAATCTAAGTATGGCTGGTGTCTGTCATCTTCTCGGTTTCGGCAACATCAGTGGCTAGACACCATCACAAAGTCAGCGGTGCTTTTGCATTCGTTCTATGCTATAACCACTGCGCTTTGTGATTTCCTTTCTTGCTCATTTTTACTACACTTTCATTATTGGTGGTAGTGTTTCTTCCTGTTCCGTCTTGTGTTCCCTACTTACAATCTGTTTCATCTGTCTTAGTCTCTACGACATGCAGTATTGTCGGCTGTTCTTTTTTCCTTGGTAATTTTCAGTATTTCCCATCATTCTTGCATTTCACTCATGTGGTCCATCTTATCACTTATGACGGAAGGACGTCAACCGGCCATACAACAATAGTTTGACCTTCTTCGAATTACGCCGGCTACTTTTGTATACCTACATCGGTTTCAAGTTTATAATCCAGGTGCTGGGATGATTTTACGTCTGGTTGCGTGTTCAGCTTCGGTCACGTTGTCACGTAATTTCAGCCTGTTTTCAACTACAGCATTAAAGTCCATAGAATTCGAATAATTAACCAAAATAAGTTGCAGACTTCGGACAACGATTGCTCTTTCAGCATTCCGTAGAGTTATTCTGACTAAATCCATCATCTAAGCATCGTCTTTATTCGTTAGCAAATACCGTGCAGGTCTGCTTTCTGTTTTTGACGTTTAGATGGTTATCGCCTTCTCCAGTTCTTCTGTCAACCGCGTTGTTTGAACTAACATATCCCTCTGCCAGTAATTTCCGTAGCTTTGGTGCCTTCGTTTGTGTACATCTGTGGCCAACGTGTGCAGAATTCTCTGCCCATATTTTTCTAGTTATCTTTCAACCAAAAAATGAGTAATTGAAGGAGACACAGTTATGTGCTTAACGACGGAGGTCTTCTCATGCATCTGTGATGGAAATGGAGTTACCCGTGAGCGGAGAACTGGCGGCTGGCAACTAACTCCCATCAGCCAACGGAGTTGAGTGCTTACCACTCGAAGAGTTTGGTTGGTATGCAGCGGGAGATGCGTATGTCAGGTGGTCATTCTCATTGATCCGTTTTTCGTTCTGTACTCAAAACAAGGCGGTGACGAAGATGAGTAAATCCCCTGAAATTCCTACTAAGGATGCCATCTAGTGTGGCGACGAAACGTCTGCAAACCAGCTACACGGTTAGGAGAGCAACCGGACAACTTTATCCACCTTTTGTGCCCCAATCATCCTCAGTATCATATCAGCACCTATACCGTCCCCATCGAAGGGCTGCATGGGTCGCTCTATATGTTGTGATCGGTGATTTTGAAACAGAACTTAATTCGGCATCCATCGGCACTACTTCTTGACCTGTTTAATGTAGCGTCCATCTTTAACGCGCGCATTAATCCCCACATTTCGTTGACCTCATGCACTACCTCCTCCAATGATCCGTTCTGCAGGCCGAACCAAGCCAAACAAGGTGATAAGCTGGTTCTGACCAAGCCTCTTGGCACCCAAGTAGCCGTAAACGTCCACCAATGGATGCTCGATAATCACCCCTTCTGGCGTGAGACGTTGCAAAATGTTACCACACCTGATGAAGTGAAAAGTCTATACCAGGCCGCTACCAGGTCGATGGCCCATTTAAACAAGACAGGCAAGTCAGGAATTTCGTCATCACCCGGATTCTTGATTGACTATCTTACCTCATTAGCTGCTTTTAATTTGTGCTTACATGCTAAATCGTCCCAAGCAAGGTTTATGCGCGTTTTGGGCCTTTTATTAAGTGTGGTAATCAACTCGCTCCGACTGAAAGGTACTTCATGAGTAGTTCATCTGTTATCTATCTCAACTTCCGAGGACACCTACGACTGAGCACCGTAGCCACTTTCTTGTCCACAGGTGAACAATGGTTGAAGCACCCATGTAGATTTGCGTCCTGTTTGCAAAGCTCCTTGGACTGTTCCCATTACGGGTAGCTTTAAAATATCATACTGTGGAACATATTCTTTACTTTTCAAATTGTTTACTGCTGATCCGTCTATCTGTTTAGACAACCATTAATTTTTCATTACCTAGATCGCTCTCCTCGTCCGCGATCTCACCTCTCCATCTTTCTAAAGCCCCGGTGTTCCACTTATCCCATCAGGGGCGTTGCAAGAAACTCCTGTATAGCTGAAAAACTGCACCGTTAAGCTCTCTTCTATCTTTTTGCCCCACATATTTCTCCTAGGTGTTGGCCTCTTGTAATGGACCGCTCACCCCATCCTATTGGCTCACTCTCTGAGTTGCTTCCGCCCTAATATCTCTCCATCATCACCTTCAACGAAAGCACTGAATGAGTGGATATCAGTGCGTCTCACTGATATTTATCTGCTCTCCGACTATACATCAAAGGGAATTGATCTGTTAATTAGAGACAAAAAGAGTTTACGCGTGACTTAGTATAAGACCTGTGTCATAGATAAATGTACTGGATCCGAGTGCTTACGCCTTGTTAGCAACTCGGCCATGAACGGCTGGCTGGTGTGCGAGGATAGGACGACATCAGCGATGCTGCTTCCTTGGGGCTTCCACTCCCAGCACCATAATTAATCGACCTCCACAGATAATTCAGCACTGTAAACACTTCGAACAATCAGTTCAGGTAAGATGCTACAGTAGATAGGCGGATGAGCAGCGCCGGCGATTTCGTTGCTTACTTCCTAGTCCGTGATTGTTTCTTCGAATCTCAAACTCTCCAATGTTGAGAAAGCAATACAATGATCTCGGTGTACGATAGATCGGTGTTATATTAGGCGTCCTAACCAACAAAACGTATTTTGTCCTAGTTTATCTACTGAAGTTGCCTGATTATTGTTCCTGAGTGCTCGTATACACACCCCATTGTTAGATACAGCAGTGCCACCTAACAAGTGGTGCTCCGCAGGCAATGATACTCATGCTTGAAGGTATTCATGAACCTCATGTTAAACGGGCCAAGTCTCTCTGCCTGATCACGAAAGCCATATTTTGATTCCACTCAATACATCGACCGTCACTTCCAGGTTGCCGTAAGTGTAGTTTAGAGCTCTTTGTAAGAGTAGCGCGACTGAATGTATTCACAGCGGCTCTTTCTCTTCATTTTTTTCCTTAGCCGCCGAGCTGATGCACAAGTATGGGGCACACGGTTGTACTGATGTCACCGGCTTTGGTCTGGTCGGGCACGCAGACAATCTGGCGAAATTTCAGGCTAACTCTAACATATCCTTTCGAATTCATACTCTTCCGTATTTGGCCAATTCTGGGCTTTATTCCAAGTCGCTAAACGACCGATTCAAAATTTCCAGAGGCTTGTGTCCGGAAACCTCAGGTAAGCTTGGTTGTATTCGTATGAATTTCACTGACCCTTTTTTCGATGTGTTACCGGACATTGTTCTTACAAGGCTATTAAGTGTTCACGACGTCACGGAGATAACACTGCGAGTATTTCCAGTGAATACGGTGGTCTCCATCTCCAAGGCACGTTAGAACCACCAAACTTCCCGATCGTCGCGAAGGCGTCGTTTGAGTTATCGGCTGACAAAACGGCGAAGTTCACAGTGGTTTGAGTTTACTGGGAGGTTTTGGCGGTGGTCGAATAATGCCAGTGCGCGCAGAGATTCAACCCTACTAAAAATAGCAAGTTAACCCACAGATTGATTGGCCCGATTTTAGCATCTCAAGCTGCAAGGAAGTTCTAATGGTGTTCAGTGTCAGCATGTGAAACGCAAGCTAAGTTGTGAATAAAATAATTGGTATATTCCCGACGGTGCGAGGTTTAGCCCGACTAGGTGTTTTGATCAGTGTGTACAGCATGATCGCATAAAACAGGCAGTTGTTCACGCTTTGTACACTGGATCTCGAACGGACTTTAAAAATAACTGGCTGGTTTAAGGTATTAGAGAATTTGGAAACTGAGAACAATAACTACTTCAGCGTTAAACTACTACGGCATCCATGGTACCGTTCCGAGCGGATCTACTTCCATGCAGTGTATTCCCTCTAAAGGTTACACCCGCACTTCCATACGCTATCCGGCTGTCTGTCGGTGTGACAAAATAGCAAGTAAGCCATCACCTGTCTAACAAATGACTTGTATGGGGCTGTTTTTATGCATACGCTTTGGGCGACGAAGCCTCAATCCGTTCCGTCATACTCGTCATTCAATTATGGCACCTTTGTATGCCAGTCGGTCGGTGGCAATGCTCCTTGCATGGATATATTTTTTTAGCATGGAAGCTTCAATCTGTCACCTCAGAAGATCAGCCCAGTCTTGGCCAACAATGAAATAAAGGAGAATATGAAATATGAAAAATTACATAATAAGTCTAGTAGTGGCAATGCCAGTAAATAAACAAATAGCATGTTTCACAACGGCACAAACCGAATCGACAGATCATGCGATGCAATTGTGTGGTGTGACAGCCGAAGGCAGATAACTGCCCGAATTATCCACAGGAAAGAAGGTATTAAAACAAATTTTCTGTCATTATTGGTACAGGGATCCGAACAATAGAAAACCCGATATCGCCAAGCGCTGACATTTGGTGTAAGTCCGGGAAAGGATAAGGATTTCCCGGAAAAGCCATTACTTCAGCGATTAAACGATTGTTACCGTTTATCGCATGAATTTCGAACGTTCTGGAATGTTCTAAGGCCTGTACATGAATACCGACCGCCTGAAGATCGACCAAATCTGTATGGAACTGCTAATCCTGACAGTTGACCTTCCCATTCTAAAACTCGGAGGTCAATAAGAGCCAAGGCCTGCTGCAGTTGTACAGTGTTTCGTTGACGGCGGTTAACTCGTTATTTTGTCAGGGTCACTGGAGTTCTGATATATCCCTCGGTAGCCTAAAAGTGAAGTGCATATTTCGGAATTGCGTCGAGTGGGAATATCATAACAGTATATTTTTTCGAACTGTTACCTCCGGAAAAGAAGAGAAAATGGTTGTCATTGCAGAACAAATGTAGTGAAGTGCGTCGCAGTACAATTGTTACGCATCGGTCAATTTGAGGGGGGGATTACGCAGATAGTTCCTGTCCCTTTTGCCAATTAATGACTGTTGCTCTTGTTATCAGATGAGAAGACAGTAGGGAATAAATTTGAATGAAGTAAAACGGTACTGGAGGTTGCGTTAAAGAATTGTATGTAGAAGATACTGATTGCGCTGGTGCACTTGTTGAACATGTTTCCAGTCGATATTCTCCGGTATTATACATGATCCAGCCCTTCTTCATACAGCTTCTCGTCATCAAATTGAATTTTCCTAATGCGTTTCACTCTGTCAGTTGACAGATAAATCTTTATTATTTTCTTGAACATCCAGGAATTTTCAGGCATTTGGTCCTTTTTGGAAGCTTGTTCCATATGGAGCAATACTTAAGAAGGTGGACGTTTTTCCTTAGGTCTGTCCTGCATCTAGGTAATGAGATTATGCATTCAGTGTGTCACAACTCATTACTGGTCTGTCCCCGAAAATACAGTGCAAAGGTTCAAACATATGCTTTCCGCACACATTGGAATGCAACTTTCCTAATCAAAAATTTAACTCGTTACGCCTTTCTCTATGTGAAAGAGCAGTTGACTGACCGAATATGCGCTTGGTAAAGGCGTGTTGAACGTCTTCGATGGCTCTCAAATCACACTTTCGCAGGTTGCTGAATGTGACAGAACTATATTTCTAGAGATCTAATACTAATTTTGATAACAACTGGTCTGGTTTCTTCCATGTTCTGCAGGTGGCATATGAGCCCGACCGGCTCTTTAACCTTTTTCACGATATGATTTGTATGTTCGCTAAAGTTTAACGAATTAGTGTATCTCAAACCTAAGTCGCGGACAGATGGGAATAACTTGGTCTTGAGGCCTGAACAATTCTGCTTCTTCCTGGTATCCATGCGCCAGAATACTACACTTCGATGGTGCAAACGTTATCTACCGCATGTCAGTTCATCTCTTAATGGTTTTCAAATTACTTTAGATATTGCCAAGGTTGGCAGTATGATGAAAGCTTTGGAACATGTAATCAAATAAGTCTTGACATATTGCATAACAGAGACAAGGTCATTTAAATACAGTAGGATGAATAATTGACCTAAAACACTGCCCTGCATCACTCCGCCGGTGAACATATGGGGTAAAGAAATGCTGCCGTTTATTTCCACAATTTACAATCGTCCTACTAGTTACAATTGGAGCCAAGAGAGTAGCGGGTTTGTTACACCCTACCTATTTAATTCATGCAGCAGCCTCTTGTGTGGAACTCTCGGCTGCTTTTTCCATGTCAAGGAAGATGACAATGCACTGAAAACCTAAGTCAATGTTTTCAGTTAGAAGGTTAAGAAAGTCAATTAGACAGGTAACACGCGAACGGGACTTCAGAAAGCCATGCTGTGAAGGTGAGAGAAGTTTGTGCGATATTAGTAACGAAACCAAACGTTCCCTAACAATTCTAACATACGTATGCGAATGACACTGTGGCTAATGTGCCGGTAGTTCCGGGGGTCAGTTTTCGACCCGGACTTATGTCTCCTTCTGACCGTAAACATCTTCCAACGTTCGGGATATCGACCAGACCTGAGGGACAAAGAGAAGATATTCAATAACAGAAGGGGGATATCATTTCCATCGTGTTTGACTAAAGCAGAAGAGATCCCATCGGGGATGGTCGTAGACAGGCAATCATGCGTTTTATCCTAGTGACACTAAGGTCGATCGCTGAGACTAGTTCGGAGAAGTTAATGGAGGTTGATAATTTCAGCACTCCTTTTTCAAGGTCATAGCATTCAGCAAAGTATGTGATAAAGACTTCTGCTATAGCAATTGGAGAAGCAATACATTCACCTTCAGGCGTGACGATGTGGGGGCAGGTCAGTTTTGCCGCCTCTCCATTTGCTAAATAATGCAGTCAACTGTTGGCTTGTATTACTTTTATTCCCAGCTCGTTGTTCTTCATAAGACGGATGTGGACTTTCATGTTCGCTTCACTACTAGGCGCTGAAGTTTCAGTAACACGCTGAATTCGTGAGTTCGTTGATATGTTCGAGTTGGTACCCGCATTTTTCGCTTTTCTTTTGCGTTGATAACATAGAAGCGGCTCTTGTATTAGCTTTGGATGCAAGCATGCTTAAGCACATAGCCAAATTGTCATACAAGATGTCAAACGCTCCCTGGATATCAGACGGAGGAAAGAAATGGTCCCAATTTTGGACTCTTAGCAGAGCGGAGAAAGTTCCCCAATTAATATTTCGCAGAAAATGTGAAACCATCACTGACCTCACATGCGACGACTCAGCTATAATTTTACATGTAACTATTTTTTAATCACATCCAGGGAGACCGTCAATGACATCAGTAGCTATCGGGGACGTGCCTGAAGTAAAAAGTAGGTCTAGTATATTTTTGCCTCTGGTGGCCACGAGAACATGTTGGTCCCAACCACCAGTGATGGCAAAAGTTTCTAACAAAACCTGTTTCGCGTTTGTTGCTAAGTTGAACCAACAGATGTCGGGTAGCTTGAAATCTCCACCAACGACTTTATCAAAAGTACTAAGGTCCGATATGTAATTAAAGATGTCAACCAACTGGTTCTCACTGAGGCTGACCTTATGTGAGCGGTATATACAATTTTCAAGCGTTCGCTTAGTACCGAGGGAGACGAGTAACCAAGCGGAGTCAATGGTGGGGCATATAAGTGGAAATATGGATTCAGAGAATTCGGCGCGTAGTAAATAATGCACCCACCTCCGCTGCCTTGCTTTGGATCACTTCTAATACGCTTGTAACCTTCGATGGAAAACAGCTGGCTGGACATAGAATCATTTAACACCAGGTTTCAGTGAGTAAAATCATACCGGGTTTATTAAGGCATATGAAGGTGTGGAGATGAAGCCTATTAATCAGGGAAGTGATATTAAGTACCATCAGTCTTAAATAGTCCTGTCGCTGTTCATCATTACATCCAGTGTTTACACTTGCAGTCAAATTAGTTCCAGAGCCTTGCGCAACAGATCACTTACCGTGAGATTCGCCAGTCCTATCGGGATTAGAGGGGGTGGAGGAATGGGTGAGGGAATGCAAAAAGAATGCTGTGGTACTTTGGGGGTGATTCAGTTTAAATAGATAAGGTCTTGTTACCGAAAGACGCACAGAGGGCATTATAAAAGGAGGAGGAGGCGAAAGAGAGTGTGGAGAGGGGCATTAGTAAGTTGTTTGCGTTTCAGCAAAGCTATGTAGAGGCCTGTCAAGAGAATAACCTTGGCACACCGCCTGAATACTGGGGAAGTGTGGCTTACACTACTCTGTGGAGGAGCATTATTTCTCACGAC